TTTGCGTGGAACGAAGGATGGCGAAAGTTGACCCAATAATAATTAAAATCAACGAAGAACCGTTCATGGACTTTGCTAGTATGATTTTACTTTTTAGTTTATGCCTAGTTATTAATGTTTTTAGAAGTCGGGAATAAAGATATTGTAAAACAATGTATTTTCGAACATCGTAATTGATTCAGTTCCACCATAGATTAGGTAACGTTCTTGTACGTACGTTTTATTTTAAACATTATCGAATGTTTGTAATGTTTACCTAAAGTATTGGTTATTTTATAGTACACACATAAAACATTAAAACTATGAAATACCCAATCAAATAATCAATTAAACAGTAATGATATAAAATCAAAAATAAAAGACAATGTCACAAATATGTTTATACAAACGTTTCCCATTTGGTGGGACGCGACCGGGTACTGGGCTATCAAAATAAAATACCGGGTCGTAACATTCCCGCCTTGTTAAAGTAGAACCAGACCTCAGGATAAAACTTTCGTCATTTTCCGCGAACTTGGGCTCTTTAGTAAAAAATAAGCTGCAGCTCCATATTTCGCACTAAATAGGCGATATCGAAATAACATTAGTAAGACATTTTTTACTAACAATAAATGTGTATTATTTTAATTAATGTCACATTGAGATTGAAAACAACGTGACCATTTGTCGCAGATTTCGGCAGAGTTTGGCAGATTTGGGAATATTCAGCTTTACCGGATTAAAGAAATTCTTATCATTTTTGGGAACAAACTGAAAACTTGTTGTTTTCTGCTACTGCGAATAAACATTATGAAGTGAAATATAGGACAATGTTATAAACACAACTTATATCAACTTTATAACACCAGCTACTATAAGCTGTATTCAATTAGCTTTTTTGATGCTATGATAATGAATCCCAAGTGTTGATAGGTCTCTCGTCATAAACACTGGGTCACAAAATACACGGGATGTTGATGTTAATACAGCCTAGTGCATTATTATTATAAGCGTAGCGAAGTTACCATTTTTTAATATCCGGGTATTGTGAAATTGCAATAAACACTTCCTTATAAAGTCGATGAATTTCGTTACACGCTTTAATATAAATCCACGTAACGTACCTTCTATGTATAAATTAAAGTTAAAAGCTTTAGTAAAAGCAAAAAATGAGCAGAAAGGTCAAAGTTAAACGACCACCGATCTCTCAAATCGCGAGGTCAACAGTAAACAAATAATACAAAAGTGAAAAATGGTTATAATCCACCTCTAAATACATTGACTTGTCGTCATACAAAAGAGTGCGTTATTTATTTGGGTGCTTGTAAGATGTATTTCGTGAAGTGCATTGCACCGGTATACAAGAGTCATTGGAATGCCTGTACTGCTAAGTGTATGTGGGCGTACCTCTCGTAATGCATCATTAGTATAACTTTTGCTTTACAAATTACGGCTCCGTTTAATCTTTGGAAGTTTTTTTTACGTTATCAAGTGATGGGATGAACAAGTCACTGCACTTGGTGGTAAGCGACACGCCTGTCCATTTGCAGTGTCTCTCAGAGGTTTAAATCGCAAAGATCTAAGGGGAATTGCCACTGCGCCCGTCACCTTGAGTTATAAATTGACTTGTGTCTGTAATTTCACCATCATCCTTACCCTTCAAAACCCAAATGCAGTAATGTTCACATTACTGCTTCGCGTTAGAAATAGGTAAAGTGGCAGTACTACGCTGGATGAACTCATTAGCAGTTTTTACGTACTTTGTATAACTTGATGTGTCGTTGAATGTATATTAACCTACTAATCCAGAATGTACGACTATATCGTTTGAACTAGTCTCTCTAGTTCAAAGTCGTCTTGCAAAAATGCATTTTTGCAAGACCAATACCACTTAATTGTAGCAAGAACATATTAACACCGACTCTGGAAGATTTGGACAGGAACAAGACTGAGTCTGCAGTACCAAAGCCAATACCATGACCAGGTGTGCTGACGCAAGATCAAGAACAGGTATACTGACAGAAGACCAAGATCGCGTTGGGCTCATCTTGGTCTTGCATTTGGGCAACACTACTTTAAACTTTTGTAAATTATAGAAGCCTTGCAGTATGATTGAGTAACCAAATTCCATCATATAAATAAAAAAGTTGTCATTTATTATATTAGTGGGATTATCGGAAGGCGTTGAAATGTTTGATTTATTGTAATTCTAAAAGAAACGAAAGGGATAATCATATATCGTGTATAGTGACCGAATAATAGAAAACGACTTTCTACTCTGCTCAATAAATAACTTAACGCATGATATACGTTCAAAATCGATAATAGATACAGTTTGTCCTAAAACTGTCAATGTTTAAAAGCCCAAAAGTAAAAGTTTCCTAAAGTGTGTTATAAATCTTAAGTGACACATTCCATTTATAAAGATATAGATTTTTATTAATATTCACTAATTATAAAAATTGGTCCTGGCTTGTTTTTGTGACATATTTCGACGAACGACCTTTTTTATTTTCTGTTTATATATTTTATACCCTTGTTTTGGTATAATAAAGCCCATTTGTGATCATACGTTAAGTGCTCTTGTTATGCGAAAGAATTGATCTACCAACAAAATAAAAAAATATAAATTAAATACTACACTGCTGCAGAAAATAATACTTTTAAATGATAACACAATACAGGATTGTTTTTGAAATACTAACAACCTTGCAGGAATAGATTCCTAACATCATAAACAACAATTTGTGTAACCAAAAATAAATTTTAAATTTTTTTTGAGCTATCTGACACTTTTTAGACTTGTCTTTGTTTTTTGTATTATAAAAAAATTTACTCATTATATGATTGCGTATATAAAAAATGTCACTGTCTCGTGTGTGGTGTTTGTTCGGTGCGCCTGTGACGCACTCCATGGGCTCCGCGTAATATATGCGCCGTGGCTGTTCTCAGTCACGGCACATGCTGAGTGTTGCCCATTCAGTATCTTAATTTTAGTTTTCATTTTATTTTTATTTTGTAAGTGCAATTTAAAATAAATGACACTGAATAAAATTCTCTTTCTCTCTTTCTTTTTTCTTCTTCTTTCTTTTTGGAAGGTAGTTAATAAGTTCCTAAGTGCCAGCGTCCTCGCCGATGACTCCCGCGTTTTGCACAGGGTTATCATTGTTTACAGCGATCTATCAAAGTAAACCTAACGAATTATTATAAGTTATGGAACAAGTCAGTCCTGAGAAGTAGTGTATATATGTATATGTATAGAAGTAGTATTTTGCAAATAACTTTTCATACTATTTAATGAAAATATGACACGTCATCCGGTTTTTTTATTTTGCTTCACTAATATATTTATCATACATGCGGCATGATTGACAAACGCGCTAACGTTGAAGACTTTTTTCTTTATAATATACCAAGTGACGGGACGAACAAGACATGCGCCTGGTGGTAAGCAGATGCAGTGCCACTCAAAGCTTTAAATCGCAAAGGTCTTAGGAGCTCTGCCATTGCGCTCGTCACCCTCAAACATTAGTTGACAAGTTGTATGTGCCTGTAATTTCAGAAGCACCTTTAGCGCCCAGTTACACGATGCGAAAGTTTTCGCCCACCTAGTTACCACGCCTTCATGTGCATTAATGGCGAATCTGAATTCTATTTACTAGGCAACAACATTTAAATTCCTCTGAATAATACAACCCCGACGCGCGGCCGCCGCCAGGCCGCCGCGTAGACCAAACTCAAGCCAGTCTCGCCCGCGTGCCCGGGACGCTCATTTAAAACGTAAAAGCTAAATGTATAGATCGTATTTCGGCATGACAGACGCACGCGGTCGCTGCGCGGTGGCAACGCGGTCTCCGCTAGTTGCGCGGTGGCAACGCGGTCTCCGCTCGCTGCGCGGTGGCAACGCGGTCTCCGCTCGCCGCGCGGGGTGAGCGCGATGAACTTCGTGTCGAATAAATACGCCTTTACCCTTCCAAACCGGAATGCAGTAATGCTCACATTACTGCTTGGCGGCAGAAATAGGCAATGTGGTACTTAAGTGGACGAACTCTTTCACAAGGACCTCTACGTTTAATAAACTAGACTGACCCGCGATTGATGCTTTTATTGCGACAAAATGACCTTTTGGTTCGGACACTTTTGAGCGCGGACCCAACGCCATTTGTTATGAAAGTCATAAAAATAATAAGAAGTACATTTAACAAATTACGCAAATTTTATAACGCTCCTAGATAAGCATAACAAGTAATCGACTAATTTCGTTCGTAAAATGTCCAAAAGTTGTCATTTGTCTCCTGAAAGTTTCAGTCATTTTGCGGATGTGGCATCATGACACCAGGGATGTGATTTATGTTTTATATTATTATTGTTACAAGTGAAAGGACAATTTGATAACTACGTACATAAATTGCGAGGCATCAAATCAAAGCGGTTGATAAGGGATTGGAACGTTGTGGGAAGTATATCTGATAAACTGACTGGTTTAATTTATTATATTATCTGGCATATAAAATAAACAATACTAATATGAGTATTGCTGCGTTCCGGTTTTGAAGGTAAGGGTGCAGGTGAAATTATAGGCACATGGGACTTGACAAATTATGTCTCAGGGTAACGAGCGCTAGCAGTGGCCATGAGATCCTTGATATTTAAAGCTCTAAGCGGCTCTATAACTGTTGTGGACAGGTGTGTTGCTTACCATCAGGCGCATGACTTGTTCGTCTCGACTTCTTGGCAGAAATAGGTAAGGTGGCAGTAATTCCCTGGACGAACTCTTTCACAAGGAGCTCTACTGCTACTAAAATCGTATCGTATCGTTAGTGAATTACGTTTTAAGAAACTTTTAAGCCAATTTCATCTTCAACGTATACTTACTTAAATATAAAACACAGATTTTAACCATGAAGCTTGAATGCCTTTAACATTTTTCTGTGGAATGCGTAAGAAGGCTTTCAGAAGGGGTCAATCATCTTTGACCAGAGCATTGATAGTACATAAAAACGAATACAAACAAAACTTACCTCAACTACCATTTTCCATAAGTTGGGTTCTTGAATGATGAAGTAGGTGGTATATAAAGAGGGTTGACTCCGGTGGAGTCCTGGGCTTCGATGTTTGTGTACTGAGGGTCTGACCCGGGAAGAGGGGGAGTGCGCTGCTTCCACATCATGTAGCCTGCTACTGCTGCTGCCGTGGCTACTAGGGCTATCACGCCTAGGACCACAGGTAGTGTTACTGGAGGAAAAATTACACATTTTAGTGTTCTTTTTTAACAAGTAAATGACTTTGAAATGAAATGAAAGAATGTGAAAAAAATATTTTATTTAATTTTCTTGAAATGGAAAAATTCTGAAATGAAAGAATTCTAAAATGAAGAATTCTTATAATAAAGATTATAATAGGATTCTGAAATTTAAACATTCTTATATTAAAGAATTTTGAAATTAAAGAATTCTTATATTATAGAATTCTGAACTGAAGGAATGCTTATATTAAAGAGTTCTGAAATGAAAGAATTCATGAAAATAAAATAAAAGAATTCTTTCAAATTTCTTTGTTTCATTTCTTTGTCTAAACTGTTGAATATTTAATGGTCAACGCAATAAGCGAGCTGAATACTTTTTACTAATCAAAAGTTCTCAACAGGACTATGCTTACACTACTTATATTATTTACATTGGTACTAACCACATTCAACCACACACAACATTTTGATGCATATTATATAATTTTAGATTTATAATATGTATTTGCCTGTGATGCACTTTGGCTACAAGTCTCACTGGGTTGCGGTCGCTCACCATATGAGACTGGCAGAAAACAAACACTGTTTGACTTTTACGGTCTACAGTATTCATGTTCAGTCAGGGCCATTTCAGCACAAACTGTTGCAATTTTATATGACCAATAGAAATTTTGTTTTCATATATATCAATGTCTACTAATTTATGTTCTATGTGATTTTGTGTTATACCTTGTTAAGTGATTGTAAATGTATGTTCCTGCTTGTATTTGTGCTAAATAAACGTGTTATCTATCTATATATCTATTCCACGTAGGAGACGGGTACATATTAATATGAGTTGACTTTATTATTGAAAATAATAGAAATATATTCTGAATCTACTATCGTTACGTTAAAGCATATTCATTCTTACATTGTAGATATCGCAAAGCATTTAAAGGTCTTTATAGCAAACAACCAATAACAAATAAAGAAATATTAAGTACAGCTTAAATCAATATGTTATCGTAAATCAGACGATGAAGTGGCCAGAATGTTATTACTTTCGAGGCCAGCAAAACCAAACAAAGAACAGTTGGTACAAATCGAAAAACAACTGTCTGTGTGGCATGCACCAACAAACAGATAATTACGATGTCATAACCAAGTCACTTTATAGTAGACAAGGATGCATATACTGATTCCCTTTATGAGCATATGAGATGAAAAATGAATAGGGAAGCAGTTGGTAAGTGTATACTTTGAAACTAATGTTGCTATTCAGTAAAACTAGTATTGTCAATGTTTATTAAACAATTCATAGCATTCTGTGAGAAAAGTTCAAAGTTGTAGTCTTATAAATTGTGAGAAAAAAGCGAGTTGTTAGGTTCCCGCGATTGTTACACATTAGAAATATAACTATTGTTTAGGACCTACATCGCGAATATTTGGTTTTTCGTTTAAAAATAAGAAACAAATATATCTAAGCGATTTATATCCGAAAAAAATAGTTTCATTTCCAAACAGATCGTAATAAAAAACCCAAAATCTAAAAGAGGTACCGCCGTTGACTTAAAAAATGAGCCTAATGATGAAACATTTGATCTTCGACTGAAAGACTTTTTGTTGGATAATGCGTATTATTCCACTGAAGAATTTAGGGACATGGTCTTGTAATATATGTTGTAATTTATAGATTATTAGGTATAAATATTATTTTACAGAAATGAATAAATTACATAAACTTTATGCATACAATCATTATATTGACATAATTATTAATATATTATTTAATATGTTCCTACATTATTTCACATAACTACACTGACTATGTTAAAATTACGTAGTACAAAACTTGTACTGGAGATTTGTAATTTTTTGAAATGTAACATTTATTACTATTTGTAACGATTTTTGTAATACAATATATTGTATATAATAATGTAAAGTGTACAAGATAATAAATAAATCTAAATCTAAATCCAAAATGCTTACCATTAACTTTGCCACCAACAACAGCGTCCTGATTAGTGCCACAATGATCCAAGATCATCACACGGATTTCGTGATCTTCTTTCATTGCGGCATATTGAATGACACATCCATCATTATTTAGCGAACATTCGATCCATATCTTTCTTCCCAATACATCAGTTTCTGTGAGTAAAGTCTTATTCTTCACTTCTGTATATATTTGGCTGTAGTCTTTGCATGGACCAATGTCATTGGTCATCAAACAGGAGTCGTGGAAATTTGTAGTAGTGCAGATGTCAGTGCAATACGCATCGAAGTAATAGTACCCTTCTTTGCTGGTGTCACAGTGACATCTTGGGTTGTTTGTGTCACTGCAGTCGCAGAAACCGTTGTTTGAACACTCTTCCTGGAATAACGTAATCGTTGTAAAATACGCCAGCATGTTGTAAATTCTCCTTTGAATATGCAAATGCATGACTGTTCTGTTTTAAAATTGTAATTATATGTAAAATTAATTCAATATTATCCCTCAATATTAGAGAAATTAGGAAGTAACAGATATTGGTTATCATATTTTTTTATTTTCTGATGAATGTAGCATTTCATAAATAAAAACAACAAATGCCAAACCAATATTTGGTCTCTATGTACAGAACTCCTTGTATACAAGGTGTAATTGTTAAATGTGCCCAGGCGAAAATTCAGTAAATATAAGAGATATCGAAAACCTTTAAACTGATATTAATAGTACACAATGAATAAAACGACATCAATAACTTTTTAAAACAAAACTAACAATATCCAAAATGTTAACGTTAAATGCTCACATACATTTAATTGACATTCGCTTTGCTTTCGAACAACTGATTTGAATACAAAATTGTGTATTTAAGATATTTTACTTTTTACTTTATTTACAACAGTTTCGTTATCTGTAAACTTATTGTTACCTCTTAAAGTAAAGAAACTAGAACCTCTGTACAAATGTCACATTAAATGTATGGGAGCGATTAATTATAAAATTTTGGTTATTTCTAGTTATACTTTTAACAAGTTATTGACATTGTTTTACTAATTAGGTAACATCTTTCTATATTAGTTCAAAGGTTTATGATATCTTTTATATTTACGAAATTATCGCATTTTTTATGATATCAAGGGAGGGGACGAATAAGTCATGCGCCTGGTGGTAAGTGACACACCTGTCCATAACAGTTGCAGTGCCATTTAACGGTTAAGCTCTGTATATACTACGAGTACCCAGAGCAGTAAGGTCAGAACCAAAGTATAAGAGTTCGTTTCCTAAATTAGAATCGAATCCGGTACCTTTTCATCTATTTTATGTATTATTAACTATGCTATTTTCGTAGAAGATACTATTTATATATTACTATTATTTTTATTACATTATTATCATTTTGATAATTATTTTCAACAATCGTTTCGTCTTCAATTGATGTTTCTTTGCGATTTATGTGTATTATCGACCACGCAGAGCTGCCATAGTCGGGTCGGGCTGAAAATCAGGGTTGAAGTCATTACAAACTGATTTCAACATTTTCCTGAGCTCGTGTCCGTTACACACATACTTTATTCTTTTTATTTTCATTAAATTTTTTTATGATTATAATTATTACTTTTAATTAATTTTGTAAAATGCATAAAAAAACTTTTTTTTTCTCATTTCTGTAAACTATAATTTTTTTGTTATATGTGTGAAAATAAATGGTAAATGGTTTAAATTTAACGGTAGTAACAATCGACTTACGTTTGAATGGACAGGAGTACAAGCGGGTATGTCTCCACGGTCACACGTCTTCACCACCGGTCTCTCAGCAATCTGTAATGTCTCGGACATCTTCTGGTATCCCATTGTTTCCGGAATCTCTTGTCGACTACAATTCTCGCCTTTCCTGGTAATTAATACAGAATATTATGTCTGTGAATTTAAATACTTTTTTTATGATATCAATTATGTGGTCTATGATATCATGGGACGAAACGAACAAGTCAGGCGAGAGGTGGTAAGCGACACACCTGTCCATGGCAGTTGTAGTGCCGGTCAGAGCTTTAAATCGCAAAGATCTGAGGGGCACTGCCACTGCGCGACACCCTGAAACACAAGTTGACAAATTCCAAGTGCTATTTCATCAGTAGCCAGCTTAGTGAGAGAAACAGGTAAGGTGGCAGTGCTTTTCTGGACTCAGTACAGTAGTTCCTCTTTCTTTCACAAGGAGCTCTACTGTTGTTAATAAAGCGATATTGGTGCCCCTAGGATTTTTACCTCTTTGCTCGTTTCTTGTTTGATTTCTATCAAAATCTTATAAAACAAGCCAAAGATGTTAGTACGAACCAATGGGATATCGTGCTGTCGGACAATAATCAGAAAAAACATTAAAGTATATATTAGAAATAATGTTTGTATAATAAAAACAATGATTAAGTGGAGCATTTTCACAAAAGATAGACGAATATCATGATTTTCAATCAAAATAAAAGGTAAAACATTTCCAAGAAGATAATCAAAATACTTGTGTGAAATAATAATGAATGTAAAAAAAAATTATAATTATTTTAATCTGTCATGCAAACACCGAATGTATCACGTTATTACGTGACGTCATTAGGTAGGTAAGCAAAGAAACTCCACCGTATACACTTTACGCGTATCACCTTGTTGTTTCTCCGTTTAATAAATTGTCGCAAGTGGCAAGTGCATATTGTTGGTTGCCTACTAAAGATGTCATGCGTACTTAGTTGACGCGTATTTTTATTAAATTATATATAAACTCAGGGTCTTGAAAAGCTTTATTTAAATATAGTAATATTTTTCTTGGCTTCCTTATAATATTATCATAGCATCGAGGTATTGTATTAATAAGTATTCAAATCGTAATTTGGCAATCTTCATATGTATGAATATATGAATGGTCATCGTTTTACTATCGGGTCACGTCAAGTGGTACAATTAAATGCAACCGTTATTTGTATTAGATTAAAGTTCTATCTGTGATTTGTATGTTAATGTTTGTGTGAATATGTAACAAGTGATGAATAACTGAATAATATTATAAGAGTAACCAGTACCACTCTAAATAAAATTACCAAGAGACTAGCTTGTAATTTATGGTTTTCACCCTTTTGAGACGCGTGTAATTTTGATATGAGACACAATTAGTTTCTCTACATCTAAGTAGCAACAGAGCTTCTTGTGAGAGAGTACGTTCAGGGAAGTATGCTCACATTACTGCTATGCGGTGTTGGTAAGTTGTTTTTTAAATACAAAACAGCTGCGAAACTTTGGTATTATAAAAAATCTAATAGAAAGAAATGAGAAAGAAAGAAATAAATAAAGAAAGAAGAGAGAAAGAAAGGAAATAAATATGTGAGTTATCTTTTAATTTATATACTTATATGGTAAGGGTGCTGGTAAAAGAACAGGCACATGGAACTTGTCTACTTATTACATGTTCCAGGGTGACGTGTGCTTCAACGATGTTTGCGATTTAAAACTCTGAGTACCACTGCAACCGATGAGTAGGCGTGTCCCTTACGACCAGTACGACTTGTTTGTCACGTCATTAAAAAAAAAAACTGAATTTCGAATGTCGATTTCGTAATCTTGCGTACGTAATATGAGTTTAACAACAACATACAATTGTCATCAGTATAAAGCATTTTTAATGAGTCTGCCATAATTAGGAAAGTAGGGACTTGTAATTATATTCACAGAGACGAACGACAATTGTTTTGCGGTTGGTCTTAATTGTTGGGTTTATTCACTGGGTTATTACACGTTTGTATCTCTAGAGGCGAAATTTAAACGATATATAGACGGAGATACAGTCAACAGCGACTTAGATTTTGAAGCGAACTTGTTACATAGTGCGCACTATACGTTTCCGGAACTGGCCACTTACATAAATAATATTTAAAAGGTAATTACAACATTTGAAAATGGAACTCTGTGGCTGTAGAATACATGAAACAAACTTCATCTGACTGTCACTTGTTTTACATGGTGGCGTCATTTTAGAAATTGGTTGTCTACATCACCATCGATTCAACTCGAAAAAATTTTCGTAGTATGATTTTCTACGACTTTAAGTGTAATTTAACAGTTCGGCAGAGGTTCGCTCGGCTTCAAACTGCTTTTGAAGATGGAGATTTTGCACCACGCAAGACAACTATTTACAGCTGTTTTGCATAATTCAAACGCGGTCGTGTGAATCTCAGTGACGTATTTCGTGATGGTCGCCCGTCCACTGCTGTGAACAACAAAAACATCGATGCTGTGCGCCGTGTGATCAAAACAGACATGCGATATACCATGAGATTCGGGCATCTATAGACATACGCATGAGTCAAATACAATTAATACTACACAAACATTTGGGTGTGAAAAAGCTGTGCTGTCGGTGGATCCCACACAATTTGATTGAGGTTCAAAAAACGGATCGCGTCACTTGGTGCAATGCCGTGCTTACTAGATTCAACGAAGGGGCGTCAAATTTGGTGTGGGACATAGTAACAGGCGACTAAACAGGGATTTATAGTTATGACCCCAAAACAAAGCAGCAATCGAGCGCATGGGTCTTTCGAGATGAGCTGAACACAACCAAAGGGGCGCGCGTGCAAAGTGCCTCTAAGCGGATGATTCCTTCTTTTTTAAATAATACTGGACACGTGGCTACTATTGCTTTGGAGAATCGTTGTACCGTGAATAGTGATTGGTACAAGACCATGTGTTTACCGTTAAGTTATCGACAAACTTCGTAAAAATAACCGTAAATGCCGTATCATCTAGCACCACGATAATGCCAGTTCTCACACGGCCAGGCAGACAAATGAATTTTTGAAGGTGAACAACGATGACCTTATGAGCCATCCCGCGTGCAGTCCCGACCTGGCTGACTCAGTCACTTTTATTTATTTCCAAAAATTAACAACCAGTTAAGAGCGCGATCAACGAGAAGCTGTCGAAGAGTATGAGAAATATGTTTTTTTTTTTTTTTTTTTTTGTTGTGACTCGGCAAAATGACTGCATGAAAACATGAAACATGAAATGTTTCAGAGTTTGTCACGGAGGAGTGGCATAATTGTTTTCAAAATTGGTTCATTCGTAGGAAAAAGTGCATTAACGCTAACGGAGAATATTTTGAGAAACAATAAATTCATTTCTGACCATTTATAGTATTTTTTTCTTATTCATTCCGGAAACTTATAGTGCGCCCCACGTATAAGCGGCATAGAGATAAATTTAAGCGTGCTCTTGGCGGTTTTAGCGTTAATAAAAGAAACGGGCCTTATTACGAATTTAGAAATGTTTCGTAACTGTATTAAGGCAGATGTTGTTTTTTTATGAATGGATAAACCGCTAATATGTCTTCTTATCTCGACCGCTGTACGCTGATGTTAACATCAACTTTTGAAAGGTCAGTATTGTCAGTGTCTCATAATTCGTTATTACTTTTATCATGAATATAATAGAGGTCTGTTTCGGTGAGGCAATATGGGGTGTAGTTTATGTGTTTACCATCCATCATGACAGGCGCAGCTACCGCATGAGAAGTCACCATGGTTATTGCATTTTGAAGAATTCTTGTCGACGTTTTTGCTACAAGCGCATGCACAAGGCACGTGGTATTCGGCCACGGTCATTGGTCCTTTTTCACCAATGCTTATATTGAATGTTATGAATTCGTCTTCGCTTCCTGATGCAGGACAGAATTCTTGTGTGGGTAGGGCTCCGATGGATAAGTAACACCAGTCAATGTCGCAATGAATAGACTCTGACGTGAGCTCGAAATTGGAATACAACTCTTCCGAGACTGAACTATTTGTTATGTGGATGTTGATCTGTGGACAAATGGAAGTTATTATTTCATACAAAATAATTTAGAATTAATAATATACCTAATTAACACCACGTTCGAGTTTTTAGGTTTCGCATTTGTTACACATTGGAAATAAAACTATTTCTTTCGGATCCAAGTCGCGAACACATATTTTGATTTTATTGAATATAGTAATGTTTTACTACAATGCGTCGTTTTTTTTATGAAATTATACTCCACTAGTTGGTTATTACAGATTGTGTCAATAGATTTCAGTTTTATTTATAAGGAATTCTTCTTTGGGTTCGATCTTTGTATTTATAGGTCCACTGGTCACGTCTGACTGGAATGGTGAAGTCACCAACGTTAGATTGTTTGAAAAAACAAATGTACGTGATTTAGATCTAAAAAAAACAGTTTCATTTGTAATAAGTATAAAATTATCATAAATATGCTGTTGTAAAATCAAGTTATTGAAAGAAAAATTTAACTTCTAACTATGATGGGTAGGTACCTCATGGTTTATTGTGGGCGCAAACTTCAGCTTCATTGGCAGGGCGAGCCCACTTCCCACAGCGATATACTGGATCCAGTTGGTGGGATCTATCACTTTAGATGTGGAAACCGTCTTAAGAGGCTTGTACGTTAGCTCAGCTGTATGACCTGGACATCTTTTATCTCCGTCTTTGAAACATCTTTGTTCCTGTAGACAAAATAGAAATCATTAGACTTGGTGTCATAAAGTCACACGTGTCCCAAAAGTGCTTTTATCAGACCAAATTAAAAAAAATTAACTACACGAAACAATTTAAGCATAAAAAGATATAATAATAATAATAATAATTTTAATAACATGAAGTGACGAGACGAACAAGTCGCCTGATGGTAAGTTACACTCCTGTCCAGAACATTTACAGTGACACTCAGAGCTTTAAATTGCAAAGATCTGAGCAGCGCTGCCACTGCGCCCGTCACCCCGAGACGTAAGTTGACAAGTCCCATGTGCCTGTAATTTCATCAGCATCCTTACCCTTCAACACCGGAACACAGTAATGCAGTACTACCCTGGACGAATTCTTTCACAATGAGCTCTACTGCACTATAAAATACAAAGACAGAACATAAAGAAAAAATCCTTCGATCTGATAGGACAGATGCCCTAGATTGGCAAAACAGACACAGGTTCTTAGTAGTTGTAGACCTAATTGTAAAAGAGTTCGTTCAGGGAAGTACTAACAACTTATCCATTTCCGCTGCCAAGCGGTAATATGAGCATTATTGCGTTCCGGTTTTGAAGGGTGATGGTGCTGGTGAAATTACTGGCACATGGGACTTATTAACTTACGTTTCAGGGTGACGGGTGCAGTGGCAGTGCCCCTCAGATCCTTGTGCTGTAAAACTCAGAGTTGCAACTGTTGCGTGTCATGGACAGGCGTATCGCTTACCACCAGGACGACATGTTCGTTCCATCACTAGGTAGCATAAAAAAAGTTATTCGTAGTTTGCCGCTCTTAGAGGTGGAATATTTTCTTCAATTTTAAATGGGACCACTACTATACCCTCTTTCTAACAAAAAAATAAATCATCAAATTCGGTTCACAAATTTTCACAAAAACAAGAGTTGTTACGTAATACATAAAAAAAATACAGTCGAATTGAGAACTTCCTCTTTTTTTAAATCGGTTAAAAATGAATGATTCTTTCTTTGATGTTAAAAACAACTGTATTAAGCTTATTAGCAGTGGTAAACCAGTAGTTTTACACTAACCACAGGACAGGCACCTTTGCTTCTTCCTGCTTACCGTGGGAAATTACCAAAAACGTTCGTGTCCTGTCAGATCGAAGGAATTTTTCTTTGTATCAATAATTGTGACAAAAATAAAAGAATATCATGGTAGTAGAACATACTAATATTCGTTATAATAAAAGTTATCGAGAGAGTTATCGTTCGTAGAATATTTAAACTTCTCTCTAGAAACGTTCTGATTTTGTCATAAAATTCTTTTGTATAGTTATAATTTCGCCTTCACAACTTATAGAAACAAGCATTTTCAGTCTGTATTGATGAGCGCAAAGCCGATGGCTTTGGTGTTATTAACCGACTTCAAAAAAAGGAGGACGTTATACGTTCGGCTGTATGTATGTTTTCTGATTCCTCCGTCAATTGTAGACTAATTTTGAAATTCTTTTTTTTGTTTGAAAGAATGCACTCTCATGGTGGTCTCATTGACGCCAAGTCAGAATCTGATGAAGGGATCCTGTGGAAATCGAAGGAAATCCTCAAATTTTATAGGCATATCCATGTATTCACCAATTTCACCATCAATTATGCACTAATTTTGAAAATTCTTTTTTTGTTTTTTAGGGTATACTTTAGAGGTGGTCCCTGATGCTATTCCGAGTTCGTTTCGGCTATCACAAATAACTAATTATTTTCCGCAAACAAAAGTCGACTTTTCACTTAACATAATACAATATAGTCAACCAATCACCGTCATCATGACGACCAGAAAAGAAAATACAAAACGTACAAAGGAGTTCGTAACAGCCCTATTGTCACCAAGAAGTTAGAATCTGATGAGGATCCCACGGCAATCGAAAAGTTGATAAGCAAACTTCTGATGTCGGTTATTTTTTCAATGATGTATAGTTATGATTTTGCCGTCACAGATTACAGAAACAAGCATTTTCAGTCTCTATTAATGAGCGCATAGCCGATGGCTTTGGTATTAGTTCTGCGTAACCGTTATCATCCTTGACATCTTTTTTACGCTAAATGTTACGCTTTAAATATGTTACAAATACTTTTTGAAATTCAAATATTACGTTAATCTCTTGTATTTGAGCTTACTGCATAAATTACTGAAACAATTTTGGTTAAGAAATTTATCTATGGAAATTTTATTTTGGTATTATATATTATTGGTATTATTATTATATTATATTCTTTATTGCACCAAATAAATACAACAGAAATCTTAGATTAACAGAAAGTGAGCAAAGTTGGACTTATCTCTGAAAGAGATCTCTTGCAGCCAACCCAGGCTAGTGAGAGTTAAGGTCATTAGCTGGCAATAGCGTGCAAGAGAGAATTAGTAAGAAATATAGTAAACTACATGAATAGAAAATAAAAAAATACCATTACTTACATTCATTATAAGTATTATAATGAATCGTAATATATATATATACACACACATAAATAAGTATGTAAAAAAACAATACGATGATTACAACGAGAGTTCAGCAAGAAAGTGCGCTTTCAACCTTTTCTCGAAAGAAACGATAAACAGGTCTAGACGAGATGTGGGATATATTATATTATTTTGGTAGATTCATGTTCTAAAATTTAAAAATCAACTTATGTGACTGTATAAGGCGTTAATACAGCACTAAATTAAAATAAAATCTGCATAATTATAACGTGCGATGAATATTATTATACTGTTCAGTTTTTACGACACAGTCATTTAAAGAAAGTTCATAAAATAAAATTTAATGCCGACAGATACCCGTGTATATCGAATGTTATTCATTATCTTGTTATAATAATCACCTAAAAGTAATTTCATAGGAAAGTTTTGAAATTTTTACTTGTCATTTTACCTGTATATAGCTTGAATAGCTTGATGTGCTGTTGATTGTACGTGGTCAATCGTTATCAACATTCAGCCGAAAATGTACACAAGGGTTATTAGACAAGTAATCTCGGAATACAGCTTCCGTTTAATTTTTTATTTATGTGGTGTATTGTTCTTGAGTATTTGAGATTTAATTCAATTATACATATGTCATGTGTGTATATTTTTTTTTATTGCAGTGTGTTCATAACAGACTCTGGTAGAATATCAGCGAAGTTTTATGTTCTCAATTCAATTCATTGTAGATGAGCCATAAACTCATTTGACATTTTTGTTTTGTTGGTAGTAGCAGCAAATTTATTAGCAACATTTTTCGTTCTTCGGACAAAGGATCATAAGCCATACCGCCAGATCTTAGATTTTAATTTTTCTTCGATCGTTTAATTTTCTGAAGTATTTTTCGCGGGAACTCGTTATCTTAAGAGAATGATCGCACATAGAGCCAAATGAAAATACGTCTTGCAAAATGGCGTCTTGTAAGACGCCATTTTGAAAACACTAGTTTGTATTTCCACTTGTTTTAAGCAATTTTGATTTTGGTTTTTCGATACGTCAAGTGTAGTTTATTTACCAAATACATATAGTCTACGTAATTATTTTTAAATTGTATAATATTATGTGATCAATCAAGTGCATTATAGTCCATTTGTTTAGGTACTTAACTAAATGTAAACAATCTTGGGATGTCTATTTAATGAAATACTTATCTATAAAATGATTTTTTCTTACTTTCAAATAAAAATACATAGCTTCATATGAAATTCCATGTCTATTTTTATACCTATTGATTTGTAAAGTATATGTTTCAATAAAAAGATGTATTAAGATTTATTAGACATTTAGTTAAGTAACTAAACAAATCGACTGTAATAACAAAGACGAGACTAGAAGTTTCCGATACACGTCAGAAGTCATTTAAAACCATCATTTACGTTTAATACTATGTAGATTGCGGTACGGCGCCACATGCCGACTTGAATGTTGAACTGATGACCAGAGTTGGTAACTTGTAATGCGGACACGGATGCCTGACTATGTTGCTTGAGACAGACAGGCTGTATATGTATTTGTGCTATACGGCTTGTGGTGTCATTAGCAAAATTAATGGTTTTTTGCATGCGATTTATTTTAACTGCATTTCCCTTATATGGCGTCAATGACGCCTATAAGTAAAATATGTGGCGAACCGTAAATCTTTTTATATTTTAAACCGACTTCAAAAAAAGGAAGAGATTCTCAATTCGACTGTATGTTTTTTTTTGTATGTATGTTACGCGATAACTCCGGTATTTGTAAACCGATTTCCAATATTCTTTTTTTGTTGGAAAGAGGGTACCTCCATAGTGGTCCCATTTAATTTTGAAGAAAATCATCCACCTATAAGGGTGGATGTTCACGCGTGAGGATTCATTTTTATAAATAGAGCCTAAATTTTATTATAAGGAGTAATTATATTAATGGTTGATTTTGCTATTCTCCAATTCAAGGCGTTTTTCTCTCTCAATATACTTTGAATAGTGAGAACGGATTTTTATTATTTCCTGTGTCAAGTCCCGGGGGATGAATCCGTGTTTGCTCACTTTTCGGTAATCCATTTCAATAAAACTTGGTAATTTTTATATAATTATATGTAATTCCACGTACTTTTGAGGTCGGTTTTTTTAGTACTCTGTACTGAGATTATATAGTCTCTTTTTATCAGTTTCATATTGTAATTCTAAATTTAAATGCACTTATCGAATTGATACGTTTGCGAGATTGCTCACAATGGTAATGAATCTATCTTTTTTTGGCCCTGGGAGTCTACTCCCGTTCTCCGTCCAATAGCCATCCGAAACAATTATACTGTCAAATAAGTAATATTCAACAGAATTAAAAGTCACATGATGCTAATGAAGCTTCATACTTGACATTGTGTTTTGATTTGTTCGAGTGTTACTTATTTGACAGTAAATCTTTCGGACGCACCCCCTGATCACGAGACCCGAAGGATTCCGAAATGTTGGTTTGTTTAATAATCTCAGTACAGAGTACTAAAAAAATCGATCTCAAAAGTGCGTGG